AAAAAAAAAAAGAAAGAAGAGGCAGGAGGGGCTGCCCTCAGTTACTCCAAATTTATACCCTCTGCTATTGTGATTTATAATAAGAAATATATATTTGGTCTTCGTCCTCTGTTTCTGGCCTCACAGCCCCTCAAACGCTTAAAATTTCCTGAGTGATAAGAGCCATGGGAGCATCTTTTGTTCTACTATTTGGCCTTGTGTCCTCAGTTCTGGAAATAGCTCCAGAGCCCTACAGGTGAAAGGACTGTCTTGCTACTCATGACAAGCCCCTTTCAACCACAACTGACTCCGGGAAAGCTGCCCGAGGATGGGGGCTGGTTGCCAGGGAGGCCGACCCTGCGATTAAGGGGTTGGAACCACTTACCTCTACCCCGGGGGGGTTGGGGAGAGGGTCTGGAGGTTCAATCAGTCACCAATGGCCAATGACTTCATCAATCATGCCCATGTAACAAGGCCTCCATAAAGACCTAAAGGGCGGGGTTCAGACAGCCTCCATGTTGGTGAACACATGAAGGGGTGGGGGCGGGGGGGCACACACCCAGGGGGACCAGAAGCTCCAGCCCATCTCCCCGTAAAGCTTGCCCTCTGCAACTCTTCCATCTTTATGTTCCAGAGTCTTCGCAATAGACTGGGAATCGAGTAAGTAATCTGGTCTCCTGAGTCCGGTGGGCCGCTCTAGCAAATAAATGGAAACCAAGGAGGGGGTCACAGGAACCTCTGACACACGGCCCATCGGTCAGAAACACGGGTGGCCACCTGGACCTGTGACTGGTGTCTGAAGTGGTCGCGGGCTTGTGGGACTGAGCCCTTACCCTGTGGGACCCTGTGCCTCCAGAAGGCAGTCCGCTCTGTAGGACACCTCGAGGTGCCTGCTGAGAAGCGGGGGGTTCCCTGGTGGTGTGGACGCCGTGGACCCTCATTTGTGAATGTGCTGTGTCTGCTCTCTCACTTCAGCAGCACAGTTGAGTGGTTGTGACCGAAACCGTAAGAGCCCCCAAGTGGAAAATATTTACCACGTGGACTTTGCCGAGCCTGCTCTAGGGTAGGGATAGGGTAGAGGGCGGGGCTGCAGGAGGAGAGGAGTCCCAGGAAATCACCAAGAAAGAAGAGGGTAGTGCTGGGGGAGTGACAGTGGCCCAGGAAAAAGGGTGAGTGATCTAGAGGTCGGATTAAGGAATTCAAGGGCCTGGGTCTCCCTCCCCTCCTGGCCTTTCCATGTGCCTGCAACCTCCTCCCCACCCTTTGTTCTGGAAAACGGCTCACACCTCAGAAACAGATCAAAGGTCACCTCCAGAACCCTCCCGTGGCGGTTCTCTGAGCTGCACCTCCCCTGTCCCCAAGCTCATCTGAGCACCCTGTGGCGGGCCTCATAGATGTCACCACACTGGGGCCTCCTGGAGGCCAGAACCTTACTCCCTTAAGTGAGCAGGGGGGGCTGCATGTGGACAAGAAGATCTGCAGCGACCCCAGTTAACCCCAAGAGCAGGCTAAGGACACTGAGGCGACAGGGCATGTGATGAGGGCATATTCAGAGGCCAGCTGAGTGATTCGGAGCCTGAGAGAGCAGCCAGGCTCTCAGCAAGGACAGCTATGCTTCTGGGGGTGCTTCTCAGGTCCTGTCAGCGCAGTGGCCAAGGCAACGTCTCCCCCTACGCGCTGGTGGCGGGCAAGTAGGACCACGGACAAACCCCAGCTCAGACCCGAAGCCAGAGCCAGGAGTCAATGCGTAACAAACAAAAGGTTTATTTCCAAGCAGGAACGCTGTCCAGTATACGGTGCAAACTCTTGTCTTGGGATCCACACAAGCCTGGGAACTGAGGTCACATGCAGAGAGGTCTCCTTCCAATTCAGAGCTTCCCCAGGAAATGGCAGTGAGGCCTGAGGCCCTCCCAGGATGGTCCACCAGAGGGCAGACACGCTCCATTGCCACACGGCGTCCAATGTGGGCAGAGACCCTGGCCGGTCGAGGCAGTAGAATATCCTGACTCTAGGGGAATCCGGATTTTCTGGAAAGCTGTTACTTTCTCTTGATGGTAATGACTGGACTCTCCTACCTTCCAAAAGTTCAGCTGCCAAGTTCAAGTCCAGTGGAATTTTTCAACAAGGGATCCGAGTCCCTGGGCCCCAACTGGCTTCTCCAGGAGTCCCGTCTTCCTTCCAGAATCCAGTCAAGGCCACACGTGTCCACGCTCTGCGGGGCTCTGGGGCATGTGTCTGGGGGAAGCGGACTGACTTTTTAATGGAAAAGAATCCTTTGACAAAATTGTTGGTTTGAGCTGCTTCAGGCAGGACATTCAACCCAACAACATGGTTACACAGACCAACAGCACATGACACAGACAGACAGACAGACAGACACATACACACACAAAACTGGCTCTCAGCATCTCACATCCACTCGAGATCATGGCAGGCACAATACCCAAGTGGCCCCGTGGGTTTCCCTGGGGCCTGGGACTCCAGGAACAGTGAAGGGGGTAAGGGGAGGAAAAGCACCTCCCAGGGAGGCAGAGGAAGGTCCAGGCTGAGGTAGGAGGAGAGAGATGGCTGTGGGGAGCCTCAGTCATCTCCGGTTCCTGAAATTCCCTGATAGGAGGTGTGGCCTTGCACCGGAGCTATAGGTAAATCGGGAGTGAAGGTCAAAAGCAGAGAACAGCAAACTCTCGAGATCGGCTTTGTCGTTTCCTTGGCTTGTTTGCATGCGTGGTGGGGTTTTGTTTTGCTTTTTAATTGCCCCATGTTTCGGTTAGAGGTCTGCCATCTTGTCCAAGCCACAATACTCGCGCAGGTTGCTGGGCTGGGCCCTCAGGGTGTCTCGTTTTCACATCATTGTTCAAGAGGTGAAGCTGGCAGGAATAGATTTGGAGGTGGTGCAAGGTAACTGGGGGACCCCTGTCCCCATCAGGGGTGGCCGCCCCCTCCTGAATAGAACCATCCGATCGATGACATCCCCCTCCCCGCCCCCGCTGGGAGCACCCTGCAGTCTCAGCATTTCCGGCTAAAGCACTGCCCCTTCTCCGTGGATGACTCACACAGAGTCCCTCTTCCCCGGGATGCTGGGGCCTCCCAGGAAGCCAGAGCTGGGAAGCGTCCAAGGATAAAAAACAAAATAAGGGCTCCAGAAGCCCAATTCACAGGGCCAGCTGGAGGACAGCTCTCAGAGAGGCAGGCGCCGGCCCCAGGCTGCCCGGCACGTGCATGTCAGCCAGCCTTCTAGAAGGAAGCACACCGTGCAGGACGGGTTTTCCACGATTCTCCCTGCCTCACCCTTCTGCCAGCAGGTGAGAGGAAGGCTGAGGCTGCGAAGGCCACTAAAGGAATTTGGCCCAGAAAGAGCCAGAGTCCTGGGGGGTGGGGGCCCAGAAGGACCAGGGAACAGCCACCTCGGCCGTGACACAACTCATGCCAGCCAGTCTGGCTAACTGGGCTTCATCCCAGCATCAGGCACACCAAGGGGCAGGGGCTTCTCCTCTGGGTTCTCCAGCAGAGTCTCCGGGGCCCCCGGCTGAGACTGAAAAGGGCATTCTTCCTTGGAGAAGGGGACCTGCTCGTCATTTGGGGAGCCGGAGGAGCTGGCATCCACGTCCCCCATCGTGTAGCTGGCCTGGGAGGCGCACTGAGAGCCATGGTCGGAGGCGCTGCACACATTCACGATGCATGTGACGTTGACCTGGGTCCCGTGGCTGCCAGAGGAAGGCTCTGTTGAACACAGGATGGGGGAGGGCAGCGAGTCAGGGGTCTGCAGGGGGATGTCTTCGCAGTCTGTCCCCTGCCCAAGAGACAGATTAAGACAAGAGGGTCAAGAGCACCGGGCGAAGAGCCTACAGGCCACGGTTCTAGCCCAGCTCCGCCATGTGATCTTGGGCAACTCAACCTTCATTGCCTGCATTTCCAGTGTCCTCATCTGCCAAGTAATTCCCAGCCCAACTCACCCTGTAGGTGGGAGGAGCCAGTTCACAAAGCAGGGGAAGGTGCTCCAGGAACAAAACATGCCCCCACAGAGATTCAGAGAGGTGAGCAGGGGCAGGAAGTACACGGGACAGAACAGTGATCAAGCGACCAGGGTGAGTTACTTTCCCCTAAGTGCGGGAAGCCTCCACAGTCCTGACCAAACCAACTCTGGAAAGGCGACAGCCTTCTGTCACTGGCCCCTTATCTGTGTAACATGAAAAAGACATCAAAGGGTTTGGAAATTGCTCCTTTGTGGAGAGGAAACACTGAGCCTGATCGTTTCTTTTGCCCCAAATCTTTCTCCTCCGGGTAGGCCTGCCTCTGTGATTTCCTAAATCTGGGATTCCAGAATGCGGTAGGGGTGGTTTGTCCTCACCACTGAGGCCAGGATATCTGCCTACTTTCCGGCCCACCTGCTCGCCCAGCCCTGGGGGCATCTGAGTTTCCCAGCTAGTTGGTGAGGGACTGAATGCTGGATAAGCTGAGAGGGGACACGGGATAACCCCTCCAAGAGTGAGAGCTGTCCCTGTTTTTCCTGCAGGGACCTGCCAAGTCCCCAAACACGTGTGCTGTCTGGGGTGCGTGGGGAGGGCCGGACGGACATTCGCTTCCAACTCCAGGGAAGCCTGGAAGGAGGATGGGGCCAGTGAGCTGCTGTGTTCAGAACAGCCCCAGACAGGCCAGGGGAGGGAGGGCTGAACTCATGGGGCCTCAAGGAAATTTCCACCCTGAGCCTCCATAGCACCCAAATGTCACCCAGTCACCGTGGCCTTTGCACATGGTGAATGAGACATTGCAGGGGTGGATGGGGGACTACAAGGGGGCACAGCCACACGTTCCACAGGAGAGAGAGGTGACTGGGTGGGAGGAGAGAAGGGGAGAGTGCGGGTGACACCAGAGAGTCGGGTGGGGAACAGAGAAGTGGCAGGGTGTAGGAGGGGTGGGCAGACTCCCTCTCTCTCTGCCCCACCCCCCAAAAATAAATAAATAAAACATTAAAAAGGAGGCTGAGGAGAAGGAGGAAAAGGAGGAGGAGGAGGAAGAGAAGGAGGAGGAGGAGGAGGAGGA